GGGATCTCTCTAGAGTCTAGATTGCCTACTTTAGGAAACAGACAGGTAAGATTCTATGGCGCTTAGGACAGAATTCCCCAACTTTTCAGGAAAAATCTTTTATTTTCAGCATTGTCCTTAAAAAAGAGTTCCTTTGCTGTGAATATTTTCCAACTCACAATGAAGTTATATCTGTTTTAAACAACATTACTATTTATAAACATTTATCAATATTTATCGGTCCACAATTCTCCAGTATGGAGAGAGGTTATTTTGTATATCCAAAATTGCCAAATAAGAAGTTATGGTTGCGTTTTCCAGATTAAACAACTAATGGACAGATCATGAAATGCCCAATTCAGAAAGAAAGGCTGAGTTTTTGATGTCAGTCCACAACAATTCAAAGCATATGGAAAGAAATTCAACCCAGGGTGCTGTTGCCCAGAGGGATTGGCTTTGAATAAGTTTACCCAGGATTGCTCACAAACAGAAGCCTTTGTGTTTACAAATATGACAAGCCTTTTAACAGTTTTAATACTGAGATCCAAGGCACTGGATAACTTCACTATGAAATTATGTGATGGGGCTTAGTTTTGGGGCAGGAAAATAAGGGGGAGAATTCTGTCTCTGCCTACCAACATCCATCGATATTCATCTGGCTAGTGTCCTGTCAGTGTGGGAGAGAGTTGAGGGCTATTTGGAAACTGCTGTGTGAGCAAGGAAGAGACAGCAAGGAGCCTGGGCATGGCTTAGCTCAACTGTTCTGTACAAAAGCTGTTTGCTGCTGTGAAAATAAAAATAAAACTGAAACCGAAACTCCTCTCTCTCCTCTGCTTGTGTTGGAAGAGATTTCTTTTCAGGTGGGGAGGGGGAGTAGAACTCCTTAGCATCAGGGCATGTTAATATACAAAATACTAATGCTCTGATGGTCATTTTGAAAAATCCTTTCTTAGTGAGCACCTAGAAGCCAAGAAGAACATATGTGCCAAATTTCAAGTTTGTAGGCTTTATGGTTCAGGAGATTTCGTGATGATGCATGAGTGGTATTTCAGATAGATAGATAGGTAGGTAGGTAGGTAGGTAGATAGATAGGTAGGTAGGTAGGTAGATAGATAGATAGATAGATAGATAGATAGATAGATAGATAGATAGATATAGAGGGAGAGAGAGAGAAAGAGAAATCCCACAATAACCCTATGAGGTGGGATGGACTGAGAGGACGGAGGACTGGCCCAAAAGCACCCAAGCCAGCTTTTATGCTTATTGACAGCTCATGTGTCACCAAGTTGTGCCTTATTCCTAGCACCCACGTCGATTTTTCTCCAACCCTGTTCCTGGAACTCATTGCCGCCTAGTTTCTAGGCCGACACCTTAGCCACCAAACTGGCTCTCATCCAATTTATCCAAGTAGCCTAACGGGTGAAAAAGCAAGCAAAGGGTTTTAGCGCGTTGCGTGAACTGCGCTTCCCCTTCCTTCCACTCCCACCTCAGTTCCTTTTGTGGGTGTCACTGCCGGCCTTGCCGAAACGGGATTTGTGGCTTGTAAAGGAAAACCTGTTTTGGCACAACAGGGCCGGCCCGAGGAGTGAAGCAACCGGCCTCAACCATCCGCCTTTCACTTCTCCCCCGGGGCCGTGGGAACCCAGCCCGTGGCGGGCCCGTTGGAAAGCGGCTCTCCGGCGCCGGACTGACCTGGCCAGAAGCTGCCGGTGCTCTTCGCGCAACGAGTCCGCCGCTGCCTGCAAGGCCGCCTCTTGCAAGGCCCGGTGCTCCAACGCCTGGCGAGCCTTGGCCAGCTCCCTCTCGTAGCTGCTCCGCAGGGAGCCCAGGTCGCGGCTGCTGTCCTCCTCGTACCGGCCCAGGCGGAGATGCAACGCCGCTTTGGCCGCCTCCAAGGCCCGCACGCGTTGGATGTAGGCGGCCAGGCGGTCGTTGAGCTGGCGCAGCTCCTCCTTCTCCCGCAGGGATCTCCGGAGGTTCGGGCTGGCCAAGGGGCTCCACAAGAGGTCCGAGGCCAGCCCGCTGTCCGACTCCGGCGTGGAAACGCTCGCCGCGGCCATCAGGGCCGAAGAAGGGAGCCAACCGGCCGGCCAGAAGGACTTGCGCAAACACGCCCTGCGCGGGGCAACGGCCGGTCCCTTTTAAGGGGACAGCGTGCCGGGAAGACGATGCTCCGCTGGGTTCGGAGCTGGAGAGCAGGCGAAGGGCACCTGCCCGGCTCCGGCCCTTTTCCTCCCACCCATGGTCAAGCTTGCCAGGTGTCCCACGGGGTCTCGAGGCTGGGACGCACCGCGCCTCTTTTAACCACCGCACACAAAAAGAAGCCGAGCCCCCTCCAATCCTCCCCCCCCTCCAAGGGGAGGCGGGCTCGGCTGCACTCTCACCTGGTCATTCATTAAAAAAGAAAAGAAAAGATGCCGGCATCAAAATGGCCCGCAGGACTAAAAGGAAAGGGGATGCAGGTAGAGATCGTCCCAAGGTTGCAAACTCTCCAGGATGTAACTGATCGGCTGGGATGAGCCCGCGTAAACGCCCTAGCTACGCTGATGCTTCTTGGGTTAAATGGCTGGAAAAACCGAGCCCGGAGAAGAACGGACTTGAGGCATGAGGACCACTGAGTTGGAGGGGTGTATTTAGTTGGGGTCCTCATTTTAGGACACCAGGGGTCTTCGGTGCTGTCCGAGCTTGGTTGTTTTCTTGCAGACCTTTCGTTACCCAAACTAGGTAACATCATCAGTGCTAGCAGTGGTGGGATTCAAAATTTTTACTACCGGTTCTATGGGCGTGGCTTGGTGGGCATGGCAAGATACTGTAAAAATCTCCATTCCCTCCCCACCCCACTAACCTGCTTTCCAGCTGTGTTCTCCTGTGCAGGGCAACCAAAGAAGACCCAGCTGATCAGCTGAGACTCAGGAGGCAGAGAATAGATGGAGGCAGGGCCATTTCAGAGGTGGTATTTGCTGGTTCTCCAAACTACTCAAAATTTCTGCTACCGGTTCTCTAGAACTGGTCAGAATCTGCTGAATACCACCTTTGAATGCTGGTAAGGAGTGATGTTTGCTGTTTACTGATGGCTCTTCGGCAGTTTCTGGACTGGGGTATTGATTACTTGATTGCTGCTCTGAAGTTGACCTTGGAGTTAATCTAGGCTGATGAGGTTGCTGATTCCTGGTGGAGTTAGTGATTCCTGGTTGCTGATTCCACGCTGGAGCCTTTTTGCTCTCTTTTGGGCTGGTTGGTTGTCTTTTTGGCATAGGCTATGCCAAAGAGCCATCAGTAAACAGCCCAACCAAATAATCTCTAAGACTGCCCTCCACCTACACAGACAGGCAAGACACCAGAATATAAACTGACAGCAAACAACACTCCTTACTAGCACTGATGATGTTACCTAGTTGTGTAATGAAACATCTGCAAGAAAATAAGCAAGTTCGGAGAGCACCAAGAACCCCACAATCCTCCTCCACTCCACACACCCCACTTCCTTCTAGCACTGATGATGTTACCTAGTTTGGGTAATGAAGCGTCTGCAAGAAAATAACCAAGCTCAGAGACCACCAAGGATCCCCCATTTCAACCCTGAGCTACAAATATTCCTTTATTGGTATCAACTTGTGATAATTGGGACCGAAATTTCCATTGCTGAGATAAGTGGGTGTTAAGAGAGTTGCACCAGATTTTACGGTCTTTTTTTCTCTTTGTCCTGGTTGTTAAGTGAATCAGGGAAATTGTTAAGTGGATCATGTAGTCATTAAGCAAATCCAACTCCCACATTGACTGCTTGTTGGAAGCTGGCTGGGAAGGTCATAAATAGCAACCACATGACCCCAGTTTGCTGCAGCTGTTCTAAATACATGCTGGTTGCCAAATCAATTTGGGGATTGCTCACATGACCACAGGGATGCCACGGCAGTCACAAAGCACGAGGACTGGATGCAACTCATCTTTTTCAGAGTCATTGTGACTTTCAACAGTCACTAAATGAATGCTTGTAAATCAAGACGGCCTGTGTTTTCCAGCTGGCCAGATGAATTGGGTTACTCTAGGCTTGCTAGGGAAAAAAATAATCATCTTCTTGTGCCATATCCATCATCAGACGTTGGCGATCCTATTTTTATCAACAGCCGCATGAAAAAGTGCCACTGAGTTTTGTCCAAACTGGTCCCTTTAGATTTTGAAGCCATGCTGTTCTTCTTCCGCCTGGACTCATTTGCCTTCAATCTTTCCCTGGAAGATTAAGTGAAGTAAGCCGTATTTTTCCGGGTGTCACATCCCATGTCCGAAATATTCTAACTTTCGCTTTTTTATGGTTTTGATGGTTTCCCTTGGCTTTCCCAGGTGGCTTCTCACCTCCTCATTTCTGATTTTGTCAACCCAGCTTATACGTAACAGCTGCCTGTCAATCCACATTCCAAATGCTTCTAGTCTCTTCAAGTGGCTTCCTGTCAGAGACCAACTCTCCATTCCAACTCCATGTAACCTCTGACAAGCCTGATTTTCAATCTTAGGCTTATTGCAGAAGACTTTTTCATTTTGAAGACTGCTGCACGAGCTTTCTCTATCCTCGCGTTTACTTCAGTGGTCATGTTCCAGCTTTCATGTAAACTAGAACCGAGGTATGGGATCCATTCAACTATAATATACTTGTTATCTTGTACATGTATGACAAATAAATAAATAATCGCGGTGAATAATAAATCCAGTTTAGCAATCATCCTGCCCAGCTTGTAGGAAGGCAAGCTCTCCGATGCAAAGCCTGTGGAACGGCCCTACGTTGCAAAATAAAGATTGTTCTCGGCATATTTATGCAGCAGTGTTCGAGACACAAGTGGGCGGTGCACCTTCCTTTGTGTCACTCAATAACTTCCTGCCCATTGCTAAAAGCAAAAAAAAAAAAAAAAGGTGCCCACCAGCATTAGCTTTTAAAGACCAGCTGCCTTCTTTTTCTTTTAAATTTAACCTTTGGGAAGGAAGAACATAATTAGGCTTCCATTCCCTATTATTTTCGGTGGTCTGCCAGGCGTTTTGCACCTGCTGCCTTCAAAGGCTGGGCTTGGCTTTGCGTGGGCATCTCCCTTGTCTTGGCCACTGCGCTTCATGGCCTCGGGACTTAATCATTAAACTGGCTGCTAAAGAGCCGGATTTACTGCTGACTAGGACTGCGTGGACAGAGGAGGCATTCTGCAGTCTGAAGGGTGATGCGTGGTGGCTCCGTGGTGTTCTTTTCTTTTAGCTCTGGATGCCAGAGGGAACAACAGCGACAGCTGGCTAACAACCGTGCTTTGAAAAACCAGTGGGGCAGTTCTAAGAGACGTGCCATAATCTTCCAGCTTCTTTTCACATTCTGGAAACTCTGTTTCTTTCTTTAGAAGTTAAGTCCTCTTCAGTTTGGAGGAAAAGCACCCCAGATCCTAGCCTTTAGCAATGGGTCTAAAAACACACACACATGCTAAGCTATGGTTTTTAACAATGAACTGCATTTTTTTTTTTTGCAACATGGCCCTTACCGGTGGTGGGATTCGAAGTTTTTTTTACTACCAGTTCTGTGGGCGTAGCTTGGTGGGCATGGTGTGGCTTGGTGGGCATAGCAAGGGAAGGTTACTGCAAAAACCCATTCCCTCCCCACCCCACTAACCTGCTTTCCAGCTCCATTCTCCTGTGCAGGGCAACAAAAGGAGACCCAGCCAATCAGCTGGGACTCGGGAGGCAGAGAAGAGATGGGGGCTGGGCCAGTCAGAGGTGGTATTTGCTGGTTCTCTGAACTACTCAAACTCCAGAACTGGTCAGTACCTGCTGAATACCACCTCTGCTGCAAACCTTCAGATCATCACTAGAGGGCAGCAGTGAGAATGTTTGATCTCTGGGCTGCCATCTACAGGCCAAGTAGGAATTTTGCAGGCGTGTAGTGCAGATATGGGAAACTTACAATGGGGTTTCATGCGTCCTGAATATTTACAAAAGATACTCACCATGGTTTACTCAAAATGGATTAATGCAATTTTTCTTTTGCATGCCTTATGAAACCATTTCCTAATAGTCTGCATCAATCCCACCCCCTGCCTTGTGTGTATGTTTAATATTTGGCTAGCTTGTGGTTTTGTGTGTTGTAGGAGTTCTAGCAAGTTTAATTTTAATTGTCTATGGAGATTCTCGGTCCTCCAGGTCATGGTTGTTCCAATGATGCTTTTTTAAAATGGCAATTAGACTTTCTGGGTTTGCTTTGAAGACGTTTCGCTACTCATCCAAGAAGCTTCTCCAGCTCTGAAGAAGCTTCTTGGTTGAGAAGTGAAACATCTTTAATTGTAATTAATTTCCTGAAAATTTTTATTTTTATTTATTTTATTTATTTTGTCAAGCGATTATTAGGTAACAGGTATAAGTATAAACATGGTTATGAATACATGAAATGGAAAAGAGGGGAATGGGGTTTGCTCCTCAGAGAGCACCAAGGACCCTTCGTTTCAACCCTGAGTTACATCATATTTCCATTTATTGGTAGCTCGAGGTGAGCCCAGGTGTCGGCATAAGGGACGAACCTTCTCCCCCACGCGAGTACCTAGTCATTCCACTAGGAGGCGCTCCTTCTCCAACGATAGCCGAGTTGCAATCCGGAGCCAGCTAAATTCCTTCAGAGCGCTTTCCTGGATTTGTGGTTTCGAGATGCGTATTTTAAGCCTCGGCGGCGGCGGCGGCGGACCAATTAGATATTGTCGCGGTCGGCTGATCTCGTAGCCGCGCCACGCTTTCCTTGGCTAGAGAGAGAGAGAGGGAGTGGGAGAGAGAGAGAAAGAGCGAGAATGCTACTGGCAAACGGGTGGAGTAAGAGGCTAGAAAAGCAAAGTTTAGAAAATGTGGGAAGGCACCTAAACGCCTTTGGCTAAGCGGAGTTTCTCGTGATATTTGTGAGCGGCTGGCAGGCTGGCAACTTTTCCGCTGGGGCTCCATCACTGGGGGTTTTTAAGAAGAGACTGGACAGCCACTTGTCCGAAACGCGGTGTAGCGTCTCCTGCTTGAGCAGCGGGGCTGGACTAGAAGACCTCCAAGGTTCCTTCCAGCTTTATTCTGTTTGTGGGATTTTCTTGGATGCAATAGAGAGGAAAGCACGGTGGGTCGTCCTCCCCCTAGAGACAACCCTCCGGGAAGACAGGTAAGAAGTGGAGGGAAGAGGGAAGGCGGGTGATGATACGGCTGGGTTGGATTTTAGCTTCTAGCTTTTCGGAAACAGCAGGAGTTCCTGGTTTGTTTCCCTTCTCCCCCCCCCCCCCCCCCCGCGCAATAATATTAAATGGCCATGGGCTACAAACAACGGGGGATGTTTGGGAGCTGTGGTCCAGCTAGCGAACCTAAGGGGGTGGTGGTGGGGAAATTGGCCAAAGGAGTGCATGGACTCGCTTTCAGTCCCCAGAGGAAAAGCTGGATTAATATTGCAGACGAGGAAATGAATCTAGCCAGAAAGCTAGATTAGCAGTTGGCACCTGCTCCCCCAGCCCACCTCCCGTGATATTACCTAAGTCATTCAAAATTTGTATTATTTGTTGAAGGATATTCCTGGAAACCTTCGAGAGAGGCTGTGTGCATTCACACGTGAGGGGTTTTTGTTCAGCCCTTTTTTCTTTAAGGCGTCAAATTTATCATTCTCCCTTTCTTTCTTTGAAGTCCGTGAGAGGTAAGTTAAGAGAGGGGAATGATTTCTAACTGGAATCGGCTCCCCAGGTGAGCAAAAGGTGGATCCCACTCAGACCGTCAGGAAGTGTGAGATAAATAGAAATGGAAGCACCCACCAGCCAAAAAGGGATACACAAAAGGGTGCAAAAGGGCCTGTTGAGCGAGCGTGGGAATGAACTCGTGAACACGCTGGAAAATGGTCCACTTGAGTTGTTAAAGACAAACCTTCTCAGCGCAGGAGTATTGGCTTAGGACGGGATAGCGGCTGGGGGAAATGTTGGGTCTTAAAGTAGATCACCTATCAGAATGCTTTCTATTAGGAATTATGTCAAAAAGAAAGAAAGAAAGAAAGGTGGGTTTTATTTGATTATACATATTATTACTGCAGCAAGGATAACATTTGCCCAGAACTGGAAAGAGACAATTATATCAAGTGAAGAAAAAATAAACAAAATCTTAATATGCGCTGAAATGGACAAGTTAACTCTAGAAATGAAAAACAAAGATGAATTGGCATACTACATAATTTGGGATAAATTCTATCATTGGTGGGAGCAGAGAGGAAGGTCTTAAGTTGGGAAAAGAGTTGTTGAAAAGGTATATAATTGGATGAGATGAAAAGAAGATGATGTTAGAAATGTATTATATGAACGAAGAAATGTATATATGTATATAGTTGAATAATTGTTTATAGGAAAACATACACTGCTCAAAAAAAAATAAAGGGAACCCTTAAACAACACAGTGTAACTCCAAGTCAATCACACTTCTGTGAAATCAAACTGTCCACTTAGGTAGCAACACTGATTGACAATCAATTTCACATGCTGTTGTGCAAATGGAATAGACAACAGGTGGGAAGCAGAGGCAGGTAGCAAGACATCCCCAATAAAGGAGTGGTTCGGCAGGTGGTGACCACAGACCACTTCTCAGTTCCTATGCTTTCTGGCTGATGGTTTGATTACTTTTGAATGATGGTGGTGCTTTCACTCTAGTGGTAGCATGAAACGGAGTCTACAACCCACACAAGTGGCTCAGGTAGTGCAGCTCATCCAGGATGGCACATCAATGCAAGCTGTGCCAAGAAGGCTTGCTGTGTCTGTCAGCGTAGTGTCCAGAGCATGGAGGCGCTACCAGGAGACAGGCCAGTACATCAGGAGACGTGGAAGAGGCGTAGGAGGGCAACAACCCAGCATCAGGACTGCTACCTCTGCCTTTGTGCAAGGAGGGACAGGAGGAGCACTGCCAGAGCCCTGCAAAATGATCTCCAGCAGGCCACAAATGTGCATGTAGCTGCTCAAACGGTCAAAAACAGACTCCATGAGGGCAGTATGAGTGAGGGTCCAATGTCCACAGGTGGGGGTTGTGCTTACAGCTCAACACTGTGCAGGGCGTTTGGCATTTGCCAGAGAACATTAAGATTGGCAAATTCGCCACTGGCGCCCTGTGCTCTTCACAGATGAAAGCAGGTTCATGCTGAGCACATGTGACAGACATGACAGGATCAGGAGACGCCGTGGAGAACGTTCTGCTGCCTGCAACATCCTCCAGCATGACCGGTTTGGCAGTGGGTCAGTAATGGTATGGGGTGGCATTTCTTTAGGGGGCCGCACAGCCCTCCATGTGCTTGCTAGAGTCAGCCTGACTGCCATTAGGTACCGAGATGAGATCCTCAGACCCCTTGTGAGACCATATGCTGGTGCGGTTGGCCCTGGGTTCCTCCTAATGCAAGACAATGCTAGACCTCATGCGGCTGGAGTGTGTCAGCAGTTCCTGCAAGATGAAGGCATTGATGCTATGGACTAGCCCGCCCGTTCCCCAGACCTGAATCCAATTGAGCACATCCGGGACATCATGTCTCGCTCCATTCACCAACGCCACATTGCACCACAGACTGTCCAGGAGTTGGGGGATGCTTTAGTCCAGGTGTGGGAGGAGATCCCTCAGGAGACCATC